TTCCAAGTCTCTGCTCCTTCACCAGCTTTGCTCTTCTGTGATTATCGGCCACCTTGTAGAGTAGTAATAGAGATATTTTACATGGACAGATGTAATTATTTTAAATGAATTCACGTGTTTGTTACAGGAGTTTAACTGCATATGTAAATACAACAATAGAATTACAGCTGTCCATGTAAAATATCTCTATTACTCCTCTTCAAGGTGGCCGATTATCACAGAAGAGCAAAGCTGGTGAAGGAGCTGAGACTTGGAAATCTGCCAATAGTTGATGAAGCCAGATTATCTCATTGGTTGTTGAAGTAATGGCACGATACTCTGCCTCTGCAGATGAACGGGAAATAGTAGACTGCTTCTTGGCTTTCCAAGAAATCATGGAATCACCGAAAAATATGCAAAAACCTATTATGGACTTACGGGAGTCTAGGCAAGAGCCCCAATCAGCATCAACGAAGGCTCGAAATTGGAATGATGATGAAAAAGAGAAAAACAAACACAGTCCTGGAGTTGCTTTCAAATATCGAAGGAGATGATGTGCTACATCTAGATGAGATTGTCGAGGAACAGAGACAAATTGACTCAGTTTATGTACTGCGAATGTGAGGTCTGGCCGGGAGAAGGTGATGTACAATAAACGACCAACTAACCTCACGTAGGAAGAGGCATCAACAAGAGGAGCACCCTCAAATGAGCTGATTTTAGCCTTTGGATCCATAGGCAAAGAGGAAGGCTTACAAGAAAGAAAACCAGAGTCTTCAAGGAGTTGTAAGGTGTAATTGCGCTGAGATAAAACCAGCCCTTTTGTAGACCTAGCAATTTCCAAACCGAGAAAATATTTTAGAGAACCAAGATCTTTGAGTTTGAATTGGCTGTGGAGGAACCGTTTTAAATCTTCAATGGCATTGATGTCGGAGCCAGTGATGATGATATCATCAACATACACTAGTAAAGCAACGAAGGAAGATTTGTTGCCCTTTGTGAGAAGAGAGTAGTATGACTTGGATTGGCTGAAA